AACTGTTGTGAGATGGTATCTCATTGTGGTTTTGATTTGCATTTCTCTAATGACCATTTATGATGAGTTTTTTTTGGCCGCATCTATTGGGGAGGTTTTTTTTTCTTAATTTTTTTAAAAGAATTCTTTGTATATTTGGAAAATTAGTCCTTTGCCTTTAATAGGAGTTGAAAATATTTGTTTGTCTTTTCACATTGCTTATGGATTAAAAAAAATCAAAAAGAAATTTTAAAAATGTGCTACATTTTAAAATTTCCTATTTGCTCTTTTCCTTAGTTCTGGGAAATCCTTAGTTATTATGGGTTGTAAATCCGCTTTTCTTCTGTTTTTCCGTTTTGTCTCTTTCTGAGGCTCATCTCTGCCTTCATCTTCATAGAGTGTTGAACTCTGTCTTCTCTTCTTCCCTGTTAAGGACACTTGCATTGGATTTAGGGCCTACCCTAACTCAGGATGCTCTCCTCTCTAGAACCTTAACTTAATCACAACAACAAACACACTTTTTCTAAACAAGGTCACGTTCACAGTTTCACATTCACAGGTTCCAGGTGACGCCTTTCAACCCACTTCAGCCATTCAACCTGCTACAATAACCCTATTTGATTGTTTATCTGACTTTTCCCTCCAGCGGTTGACGCCCCAAATTATAGCCCCAACATATTTGATCTGAATATTTAGTACTCTTGAAATGTATTTTTAAATTCCTCTCAAAAGGATAATTATTTTGTGCCTTCTGCTATACAAGGTGTGGGTGTTGACAGCAGTTTTCCATGACTCACTCCATTCTGGGACTTGGAATAGCAAGCAGCTGAGAACTTCTAATACTACTTAATGTTTATTTCTTCTGCTCCATAAACTTTTGATTTTTTAAAAAAGTATGTCTATAGTAAGTCTCACTCCTGTTTTCGTATTCCAGCATAAGCAATATACCAAACTTAAACTTGGTACTGTGTTAAATAGTAGCAATGGACATCAAAGACTTTCTTACGGTGTTTAAATTCAAGAGACAAGAGCTCCAAGTAGCGTTCCTAAGCATTGTCTATAGATCATGTGGCGGTAACGTCATTAGTATAGAACAGAAATGGGTGTATATGAGCTTTATGACTTCGGTCAAGTTTTATATTTTTCATTTAGTTACCTCCTAGAAAGTTTGAAATTTCAAAGATGTCAGCAAAAATATTGATTATGAATGGGTTTTAGGTTTATAATGATACATGATATTACGCATTTGCTAGTTCCACAGTCCCCCATTTCAAAATTGAGTATAAAAGCTGTCTGCAGAGTAGATTTATTCATACTGATTCTGTTTTCTAGCGCAAAATCCTTAAACACATCAAATAATGTGTAGACTGAATATATTAACTTGAGGTTGTAAACTATATTTTTAAGGTTACAGTTATAACTTTTTAAGTGTGATGAAATGTCTTCCTTTTTACTTTCCTCAATAAAATCTATCATTTCTCGTACTAAAGCTTTTATGACTGAGCAAATGACAGTCCTTTGGCTGAAACATTCCTGAATTGCAGTGAGTGTAATTCAACCACTACCCTGGCCGTTCTTTATAAGCTACTCATGTTTGGGTTTCATTCTTTACTCGGAAACGGCACACTAACGTCACTGAGGTTGGTCGTTTGTGTAGTTTTCATTTCCCTGTTCTTTGGTTTATTTTAAACTCTTAGTCACTGCGAAGTTTGATAGCTTTGCTCATTAAAACTTAATAATTAAATATAGAAAATTAAAACTAGCTGGAAAGGATCTCGGTAATCACTCTAATTTTTTTTTTTTTTTTGGTCTTAAAATGAAGTTGAAGTCTACCTAGAAAAGTGAAGTGACTGTCACACAAACTGAATCATTTATTCCTTGTGGGGTTGCAGTTAAAACCGTGGACTCTGAATACAGCACCATTGTTACTTGCACTACTTTTTGTGTCTGTGAAGTTTCTAACGTCAGTCACTATATAAACATTTATTGAATATAAATAAATGAATGTGACTCTTTAATTTCAAAGCATAAATTATTTACTTATTTTTATTTCTAAGATATACTCAAAATAAACTCAACCTCAAACTGTACTTAGCAATTAAGATTCTTATATTTATTACCAGGAGGAAAAATACTTAAAAAATAAGAGTGTTATTTTAATGATTTCCAAAGATATTGCGGGATTATAAAGAATAAAATATAAATCAGCCAGGTGTGGTGGCTCACACCTGTAAACCCAGCACTTTGGGAGGCTGAGGCAGGTGGATCACCTGATGTCAGGAGTTCAAGACCATCCTGGCCAACCTGGTGAAACCCTGTCTCTACTAAAAATACAAAAATCAGCTGGGTATGGTGGTGGGCACTTATACTCCCAGCTCCTTGGGAGGCTGAGGCACAAGAATTGCTTGAACTCAGGAGGTGGAGATTACAGTGAGCTGAGATCGTGCCACTGTACTCTAGCCTGGGCGACAAGAGCAAGACTACGTCTCGAAAAAACAAACAAACAAAAAAAAAACCAAAACCCAAAAAGAATAAATTAATAGAAACCTCTTCAGTAAAATAGTGATCATTTTGATATTTTTTTTCCCAATTATTATTATTTTTGACTATGCAGAGATTCTTTTCAATCAAGGATATCAGTTTTGGTGTTTGCTTTTTAAAAGCTTGTAAGCATTTTTCTCTTCAGGTCTCCTTTGAAAGAATCATTTTTATTGGAGGCATACAATTTTGTTGTTTGGATGTTTTATAATTTGTTTAACTCTTCTTCTTATAACTGACCTCTTTGGGAGTTTCTAATTTTTGTCTGTTATATGTCATGCTGACATAAAGTCGCTGGAAATACCTTCTGTCAGATTTGGTGAGTGCCCGCTCAGGAGAGATACTGTTTGGGATAGCCAGGGTCATAGGCTCTTAGTATGCTCTGCCGGGCTGCTTGGCAAATCTTGCTCGAGACGTGAGCTTTGAGTTCCTATGTGAGTCTCAATTCTGTTTTGCCTGTGCTAAATAACTGCCAGTTAAAAACAACAACAACAAATCCTTTGTGGTTTTGATTAGAGGAAATTGTATTTTAATCCGAATGTTTTTGATCACCATGTTTTCTCGGTCCCAATGATTGAACACTTATGTTTGCTTTAGTAACTAACAAACAGCTTTGTCGGGTGGCGGGGGGACAGAATACAATCCAATAATATACTTGGATTGTAAGATACATCTGGATTTCAGAAAACGTTTTAAAAAATTTGTTTATTTCGGTATATTTTGGGGGAAGAGGTGGTGTTTGGTTACATGAGTAAGTTCTTTAGTGGTGATTTCTGAGATTTTGGTGCACTCATCACCCGAGCAGTGTACACTGCACCCAGTGTGTAGTCTTTTATCCCTCACCCGCCTCCCACCCTTTCCTCAAAGTCCATTGTATCATTCTTATTCCTTTGCATTCTCGTAGCTTAACTCCCGCTTGTGAGTGAGAACATGACCATGTTTCGTTTTCCATTCTTGAGTTGACAGGTCAGAAAACATTGAAATGAGGGAGGATGTGTGTCTTAGAACCAAGAAAACAGAATTTGAAACTTAATGGATACGCATTTAATATGTCATGCTTTTTCTAATTCCTCCTACTGTTCGTGAGGTAGATTTTATTCTTCCCATTTTATCAGTGATGGAACTCTTGTTACTGAGAGGAGGTGTGACTCGCCTAAAATCAACATAACTTGAAAGTGATAGAGCTGGGGTCGAAACCCAGGTATGCTCCACTTTAGGAATTCCTAAAAGAAAAGCCTCTGATATGTTAATCTGCAGGGATTTTAAAATTTCACTTAGATCAAAAGAAAATCAAATGTCAAATGGCTATTTTGTTTTAATACAAGAAATCCAAGTTTTTTTTTTAGACAAAATAATAATACCTAAAATCTTCTGACCCAGAGGTATGCTCCATTTACATTTTGTGTACAAGAAGTGCTGTGTTGCATTGTCTCAAGAAACACCAGCTCACACTGTAGCCATTGTGAAGGGTGCCCCTGAAAGTTATGCAGTGCTGCGTGTGATGGAGAGTTTTCTGCCCCAAATGCCTGTAGTGTGCCTTGTGACCAACATTAATGTATGTTGAAGAACTTAGCATTTGGAGTAGGAACTGCTGGGTTCAAAACCTGGGTCTGCCATTGGCTAGTGTAATCTTGGGCCCTTTACTTAACTCTTTTGTGCCTTGGTTTTCTCATTTTCCTTACCTTGATATTCCCACTCCCCAATTCGGATAACTAGCATTTTCACCTCATTCGTGGATGCTCATTATTGATATTCAGGCTCCAAAAGCGACATAAAGTTACAAAACCTAGAGGGAGTGCCAGATAATATGAAGTCTCTTCTCAGGCAAGTCCGACCTTTGGGATAGGCGCAACTATGACTTCTGTGAGTCAGTTTTTGTTTTCAATTCATTTTTGATAAACATTGTCCTACAGCGTGAGATATGATACTATGATTCAGCTACCTGTGTTTGTCTGTGAGTGCATGTGAAAAGCATATTTTTACACAAATGGACAGTAGATTTGTATATTGTTAAATTACAAATAATATTCAGCATTATTGAAATATCTAGAAGATACCTTATTTCTTTATAAAGTCAGTATTTTACAAGATCATAGGTTATGCATTTTTCTGCTAAGTTTCCAGTTTAAAAATGAGTATTCAACTTGCATAATTTGATTATATAAATGTACATGGTATGGTATTCTTTATGCTTGTGTTGAACTTAGAGCTATTACATATCGACTTTTCTGTCAAAGTTTTGATTATGCATGATAGAAATAATTTAAATGGGACAAGATGCATGAGTAAACTACTTTAAATAGTTGGTTTCTCAGAGAAAGGGGAAGACACTCACTTTTTTTCAGCCATCTCAAACATTCTGGCTAATAAATGATGTCTTGGAATTCCTCATAGGTTTAAACATAATAAGCTAAATTACTTTGATATTGGTAGTGTATATTAGGCAACTTATTATTATTATTATTATTTTTGGTATTTTTTAGGATTCTGAGTAACAATAAGATATCCGAGCTGAAGAATGGCTCATTTTCTGGGTTAAGTCTCCTTGAAAGATTGTGAGTATTCTTTAATTATTATCTCATTATTATTTTGTTTAACGCATTTTCATTGTAAATCTTCATTGTAAATCTGTTACTAAACTCCCAACTATTCAAAATAAAAATTGAGTTTTTCTAACATTTTTTAATGAAAAATTTTAAGAATTTTATTTTAAAAAACAAGTATCTGAATTCTGTAAAGGGCCAGATAGTAAGTAAATTGGGTTTTCACAGCTGGCCACAAGTGACTCACCTCTGCCCTTGAAGTGTGAATGCAACCTTAGATAACATGCCAATGAGTATTGCATAAAACGGTACTTACGAATGATAAATGAATCGATGTGGATGTCTTCCAATAAATCTTTACTTATACCAGAGGTCATGGACCATACTTTGTTGACTTTGTTTAAGTATGCTAGCTTAAAGCATCTATGCTGTCTTGAAATTCTGTATCTTGAAACATGTATGCTATGTTAGGCCATTCTTGTATTGCTGTAGAGAAATACCTGATACTGGGTAATTTATCAAGAAAAGAAGTTCAATTGGTTTACGATTCTGCAGGCTGTACAGGAAGCATGGAGCTGGCATCTGCTCGGCTTCTAAGGAGGCCTCAGGAAGCTTACACTCGTGGTGAAAGGCCAAGCTTGCATGTCACCATGGCGAAAACAGCAGCGAGGATGTGATGTCAAGGGGAAAAACACTTGTATAAACTTTGATATTTTATTCAGATGTCTTTGAATGTGATATGTTTGTAAATATATATTTTTCTTAGCAATTAGGTCTAGTTTTGCTTATGATATGTCACAGGTAGCACTCATATTTTTGCTTTGGTGAGTTTCAGACAATGGACGTTTAATTTACTTGTATTCCGAATGCTATTCTGGGATCACATTTCAATTTCCCCTGTTAACTCATGCATTTAGGATAAAATTTCAAAATACATAAGGAAGCTACACTGTGAAACATCTCTGTTTCTGTGGAATACACACTGTCCTCATTTTTCTTAATTCTCTCTGCTCAACTTCACTTTCTCCACTTCTCTATGTGGCCTTTTCTTGACCCCTTTACCTAGAGGCTTCTCCTGTGATTGAACTCCTGCAGGACTTCATTGCTTAGGTTCCTGATGTGTATGTAAATATATATGATCTAGCGTTCTTCATTTCTTTATGCATGTCTCTGTTCTTTTCATGTAGATAAGATGTCTTTAAGTTAGGTTATATACATGCATTTAGATCAGATGTCTTTAAGTTAGGTTATATACATGCCTGTGTGTGTCTATATATATATATATAGACACACACACACAGAGGAATATTTTTAAACATTCTTGGCACAGTAGGAGCACTTTATTTCAATATTCCTACCATGTTCCATGTCGTGCATGTGCTTTAGAGTATGCTGATCACACCCTTGGTTCTAGGCCTGCCTAAGCTAAGGACAGTCCTTCATACACATTCGATGGTCACTGTGGTTCAGGAATGGACCTTTGGGACTATCAGGAAAGCAGACAGGAAGCCTGGGAGGACCCATCAAAGCATGACTGCCTTGGATCATTGTGTGAGACAGTACATTCCTATTATGTTTTCTGTTCCCTGCGAAGAAAAGTTACTGGATTGACAGATACCATTTGCATAAAACACAGTGTCAGGCATTTAGTATGTGCTTAGTTGATAATGAAAGGCATTAGTATGGTCTTCCCTTTCCAAAAGAAAGGATGGCAGGCACTCCTAGTTTATAAATAGTGTCTGTTGTGTTTAGAAACACATTTTATTTTTGGCACCTGAGATTGATGTGGCTGTTCATGTACACCATAAAAAGTATAGACAGCACAGCTAATGTTCTGTGCTGTGGTGTGAATTACTACCCTTTTTGCATCTATTTCTTACTTTCCCTTGTCTTTGACCTTGTTTTCAGCCATTTAAAGCTAACAAATCTCTGTACATGTTAGAAACAAATTAAGGAGCCATTTTGGGTGATACTAAAGTGCTGTGATTGTTTTTAGCCAGGGGTCTATTTATTCACGAATCCCAAAATACTTCCTCACTCCTTTGTTGGGACCACAGAGATCAATATACAGATAAGGGACTTTGAGAGACCGTTTTATGAGTGGGGGCTTCAGTGTGAAAACCCAGTGTTGACCCTGGGACCTGGGCCTCTTGTGTTAGAGAACATCTTTATCTACACTGGTCCTAAGCTCAGCATATCTGAAGTACACACACATCAAGGGCCAGACCTGAGTCCTGGCCTCAGTCTGGCAGTTGTGTGTGTGGGGGGGCATGCTTGCCCGGTTGGGACCTGCCTCCCGTATGGTTTTTGTGGGAGAGCAGCCCACTTTAGAAAGAAAGAAAAAGTGATGGAAGGGCTAGGCTCTTTTTTCCCCTGTTTATACTTTATTTTATTTTATTTTATTTCAAAGAGGTTTGTTACATGTCATGAGGGTTTGTTGTACCTATTATTTCATCACTCAGGTATTAAGCCCAGTACCCAAAAGTTATCTATTCTGCTTCTCTCCCTCCTCCCAGCCTCCCCCATCAAGCAGGTCCTAGCGTCTCTTGTTTCCTTCTTTGTGTTCATAAGTTCTTATCATTTAGCTCCCCCTTATAAGTGGGAACATAAGGTGTTTGGTTTTCTGTTCCTGTGTTAGTTTGCTAAGGATAATAAAGGCTGGGCTCTTAGCTGCTCTGCTGTGGCCCTGGGAGGGAGACACTCGGTGCTCCCTGCTCCTGCAGGGGAGCGGACTTTATTCCTTCAGCACTGACTGTTCCGTGCGTCTCTCCTTATGTCTTCTAAATGAAAGCCTGAGAGCATTCTTGGCTCCAGTACTGGTGTGGAAGCCACCCCACCCACCCACTCATGCTTTCAGCAACCCTCAACCAGCGACTGAGAGCAGATGGTGGGTAACTACCCTGCCTGCCTCACCTGTCAGGTGGGGCCGCCCTGAGGTGCCTTCTCCACTGGCCTGAGAGTGCCCGGGGACTGAGTCTCAGGTACCTCAGTGGTAAAGTCTTCAGCAGCTCACCTTGTTGGGCATCATTCTCTTTCTTGTCTCACTTCCCACTTTTCTACTGGTGCATTCTGGGGTCACCCCCCGAGTAAAGCCATTATTTTCACCCTTGTCTGGGAGGATTCCACCTAAGAGATACAACCGGCCAAATAACATGTTTGCCATTCAGATTTGCCTAGTCAGAGAGTCCTGAAGGTGAGAATAGAATAACCGGATGACTTGAAAATACAGCAGATAGGGTATGGTGTAAAAGATGGTTGGCAGAACAAGGAATTACTCACACCAAGGTCAGAACTTCAAAGCTGTGGCCTTGGAATTCCTGGAGCCAAGTCATACAGAATAAGGGTTAGGGTTTTGTAGGGTAGAGTGGGGAGAGTGGGCTGAGATAGTAAGAGCTGGCTCCGTTGAACTAATGAACATGACCCATCGTTTGTTTCTCATCTTGCCCCATGTAGGAAGATAGCAGTGTGTGTGTGCTTTATTGGAATATTTAGGTTGAGTTTAATTTAGGAGCTTAGATTTGGGGTTTTATTTTTTATGACAAAGTAACTAAATCCCGATGGTGTCATGGAAGCTAGTTTTCTAGTTTTGGTTCACCTTTTGAAGGTAGTTTGCTTTATTTTAGAAGTCTATTGAGTGGATAACTGATGCAGATTTATTGTATCATATTAATTAAAATCATAAAAAGATAGTTGACTTAATATGAAGGTTTGGTACAAGTATTGCCTCAACAGCTAATGAGCCTTTTCCATGTAGCCGATTTAAGTGTATTCAACAAGCATTTAAGGTGCGCACACTGTGCTAGGCTTGGGGTTTATGGAACATATGCAGTAATGGGGAGAAACATAGGATATATATAGTAAGCAAATTTCAAGTACTGTGGATAAAGAAAATGTGTAAGAGGATACTAAGTTTGCGAGTGCAGCACTGTGAATGTCTGCGAGTTTGTGGTGGAATAGGATGAAATTTAGAAAGACTGAAGAGAGAGCCTTGCTGATGCTGGATGAGACGGTTTGGGATGGGGTAGAAGTAGGGAGCCATGTCAGGTCTCAGGTAATTTAAAGCTCATACTCTCTGTTTAGAGACCAGTGCCCTAGACTAGACCATGGTTATCAAACTTCATGAGTATTAGAATCCCCTGGGGTTTTGTGAAGGCACAGATTATGGTATCCTATACCACACTGAATGTGGGATAGGTTGACCTTTGAGATGGCTGTTAGGCTTCCAGACGGAGACATTGAGTGAGAACTCATAGAAGTGGTACATTTGGTCTAGAGTTACAAATTTGAGTCTAGGGACTCAAAGCTGTAGGTGGTGATGAGATTGTCTAGGAGAAGGCATAGTGTGGTAAGAAGAAGTGGGTGTGGGTCAAGCACCAGTTGGTCTGATAAATACAGTGAGGATTCATTCATTCAACAAAGTGATCGAGAGTTACTGTGTGTTGGACATTTTTCAAGTGAAGAAGGCAAGTAGTGCACACTCTCTGCCTCATGTAACTTACATTCTAGTGATTGAGAAAATAGACAATAAATGAAATGATTCAGACAAATAAAGAAGATGATAGATTTGTGGTAAGTGCCATGGAGCAAAACCAGTCAGGAGGGGGCTCTCTGTGGGCTGAGGGTGTCCTTGGTTTTCAGTAGAATGTGCAGGGACACCTCCTCCAGGAGGAAAGCACAGAACAGAGGGAGGTGAGGGAGAGAAGCTAGCAGACATCTACAGGAAGAGTATATAGGCCTTTCTGTCACATCAACCAAGGAGTCTTCCCCCTCACCCACCCAGGTAATTGGTGTTTTGGATTCTCGATCCTATAGGCCCCATGGTGTTAGGCTGCTAAACTTGCATAGTAATTGTCTCTGTTGGCCTACTTGCTAAAAAACATTATTATTAAAAGATAGAATTACGGAAATTTATACTTCCTATACATTTTCTGCTTGGTTTTTTGGTAGATACGTATTTTTTTAGATTGTTTTCAGCATTGAGACTTTTATATCCATCATCCATGCATTCACTA